CCGTGTCACTAGTTCCCGGGAGAATTTTATGCTCTGTATTTAACCCGTAATGAACTTTTGAACTTCCTTTACTCATCTCATTTCTAAATAATTCACATAAAATATCGTAAAAAGCTAAAGATTGTCTTAATAGTTTACTATTCGTGAAAAGTTATTTTATGCTGCGCGAAATGAAATCATTGGCATCACATGCACGCGTATCAAAAGCGATTGTTAATTCATCTTTTCACTAGTAACAGGTCAGAATAAATATTGTAGTTAACTGAACAATTTTGAAAATTTTCCTGAATAATTATAATTAGTTTTTTTTTTTTTTTTTTAATTCATGTGTTATTTGAAAAAACGCGAGCCGATAAGAAATAAAACCTGGTACATAATGTGTGTGTCTATATAGAGATAATTATGTAGATGATGACTTGAGGGTTTCATGGGAGAGAAGACGCCAATTATTCTTGGTGGAGATGGTTACAGATGTTGCTGGGTTACAGATAGATGCGTAATTAGACAGATGGAATTTGGAGACCAAAAGTAACTAGAGATTCACGACAGAATTTTATTTTTTGATGAATAATTTTTTAGTAATGTTCTATGTTCAACACGCACAGTATATATATATATATATATAAATAGGTTCTATGTTACACATCATTATGAAAGCGACAAGCACCCCACAATTTTATTCACAAATTACCATATTTCGAGGCAATGGATGAAAAGGAGAAAAAAGTGATGCACATTAGCGCAGCGAAAGGAGGTGCGCGTTTCAGCAAAGCGTATTTGTAGAGTTGATTTCTTTGTTTAAATTTTGAGCAGTGACTGGACAAGAGCTAACCGCATTGCAGGATCAATAAGATGACATATTGCGGATTAGTTTTCAAATGACGCAGTTTAGATGCCAGGAAGGGGGCGTAGCTAAATTAAAATGAAGAATTAAAAGGAATATTGCTCAATTAAAGCTCGTAGTTTTCTTTTATGTTTTATATATATATATCTCACTCTGTATATATATTAATTAAACTTATTTGAACTTAGCAAACATTCTCTATTCGTAAAAAGCAAATTTAAAGTTAATTAAATTTTAAATGAAATTGAATTATAAATAAATGATTAATTGTTGCTGCGAACTAATCTATAATATAATTTAAATTCTGAGAGCATATGCAAATCAAGTGCAAATATCAAAATCTTTGAATATATAATAAATGTTTAATATATAATTCCAATAAATTTTTTAATCTCAAAAATTTATAAGAATGCATAAGTGAACAATTGTTGTGCAGGCAGGAGACAGACCCATCAAGGGGAAGTTGCCTCCAAACCCAACTCCCCAATGACTCAACTCGTGCCCCGCCATCTACGTAGGCAAGAGCAAAAGGAAAACCCAAAACCAAAAGTAAAACCAAATGCTGTGAATCACTAAAAATAAAGTGACCACACGTCACGTTTTTGGCGGGACTGTCCCGCTTTTTGGAGGACTGTCCCGCGTACCGCCGATTCTTAAAAATGTCCCGCTTTTTAGAAGACATCTACATTTCTTATTTTAAATGTACTGTAAAAATATATTATTATTTATTAATTATAGTGAATATAAAGAAATAAAAAAACTTTCGATCATTGTTGTTACGTCTCGTCAAGGAATATTTATTGTCAACGGAGGAGCAGCTAGCATTAGCTGAAGGGCTGTTTGTTTTCCTCACCATAAACCACAATCAAAGTTTTAGATCAACTGATTGTACGTCGCAAATGATCAAAACATTGTACGGCAAAAAATTTACATGTGCAAGAACAAAAACCAAAGCAATTATTTTTAATGTTTTTTCACCATATTCGTTTTGACAATTGCAGAAAGAATTAGATAAATGCACATTTATATCCATATATTATGATGCTTCCAATCATAAAGATTTAAAATTATTTTCCACAATTGTTAAACTTTTTGATCCAGAAACAGGAATTAAAATTAGAGTATTAGATTTTGTTTCATTGCCGGGTGAAACTTCATAAATAATTTTAATTCAATAAGCACTATTTTAAAAAAGAATAATTCTAACAATAAAATTATTGCCTATTGTGAGGATAACACTAATGCAAATTTTGGTGGAAAAGCTAGAAGAAGCATCAATAACGTTTTTACGAAACTTAACATTTGAACCAAAAAATTATTGCAGTAGATTGTGCAGCGCACATTCTACACAGTACTATTCAGACAGCATCTGACTTACTTCCAGTGGATCTTGAAAATATTATTGCAAAAATTTATTCCTATTTATATATATATATATACTGTGCGTGTTGAAAGTTTGAAGGATGTTTGTGAAAGCGCAGAAATCTACTATAAAAGAATTATTGGTTACAGCAAAACACGATGGCTAGCTCTTTACCATCTGTAGAAAATATTTTTAAAATATACGAGCCGTTAAAATCATACTTTTTTTATCACAAGATAAATGTCCAAGAATATTGCAGCTCTTTTTTGAAAATGACACAACAAATTTGGCTTCAGTTCATCCACAACCAAGCTACATCATTTCACAATGTTGTGAAAATTATTGAAGGGGACAAAATTTCAATTTACGGAAGTGTCAAATGAAATCAATAATTTAAAAACAAAATTGCAAGAACGAATTGATAACGATTACGTTCCTTAAGTTATTCGAAAGGACATCACTAGGTTGGAAGAACAAAGTGCAATTACCTGATTTTCTGAAAGAAGTCAGAAATTTTTATAATAACTGCTTGGAATATCTTGAAGAACGGACCTTTCAATTCGAGGATATTAAAAATTTTCATTGGGTGACTTTAGAAAATGAGATTTTATGGGAATATGTGGAAAAATCTTAATATATTAGTAACTATTTTCCGAAAAGTAATATTTGCGATAATGATCTTTTCGATTTACTAATTAAAAAAATTAATGTTGGTTGTCTACGAATATGGAAACAGACAAAAAAATGGACGGAGTTACTCTTTCATTTTAAACAGAATAATATTTCCTATGAAAATATTTTGAAAATTATAGAACGCGCGCTTTCCCTTCCAGGAACAAATGCAGCAACAGAACGTGTTTTTTCTAGCATCAGTAAAATATGGACAATTGAAAAAAAAAACGTTAATTGAACATTAAAAAACTTTAAAATCTGTATTAAGCGTAAATTATAATTTGACTAATTCATGTGAAAAATTTCACGAAATTTTAATAAATGATCCGAATCTATTGCAAAGTATTCACTCGGATAAAAAATTTAACCGTGAAAGAAAATCATAATTTTTTTAAAATAAAATATTAAATTAATTAAAAAATTATATTCAAATTTTTTGTTTTTACAAATATTTTATAGTTACCCAATTTTAATAATAAATAATATTTTTGTATATTTATAGACAACTATATGAATGTATGTAATAAAATATTTTTTTGAATTATTGGTCTGCTTTCATAACAATTGTAATTCTCATTTCATTCCATTTGTCCCGCTTTGTGTCAATGAAAATTTGGTCACTTTAATCATGAACCGTGAACGACGCATTAACGCGTGATAATAATTCTCGACAATCGAGTAAATTCGGAATAACTAGACAAGCGGTTAAGTGAGCCTTTTTCCGGGCAGAAAGCCGAGTCCGAGTTTCCGCCAAAGAAGCCGAAAACTGCAGTATGCAATTCAATGCTATACTATAACGCTAGAATTCAGATATCTGCATTCACACTGACGAAAACGCCGGGGGAGGTTACTATGCGCATAACTTGGGCTGTCAAAATAAATACTTTTCACTGAATTGTCTCCCCTTTACTTGGTTTGCGTAGTGTACATATTTACACCTTGTTAAATTGCAGTCGAGTGCTTAATTATGGAAATTCGTACAGAAATAAGAACTGTGTTGTAATTTTGAGAAAATTATAGGAATTTTTTAATATATTTGCGTCATTACATTAAGTATCTTATGTAAAAAATGTGTCCTCTTTAGTGCAATTTTTTTTTAAATATATGTTCTGATTGTGTAATATTTGATCAAATACATGCTTGTGCAAAATTTTTGAGCATGTATTCTGAACTTAGTTTCTTGAATGTTTGGGGCCAGTTTAGTGTTATTCAAATTTTGGTATTTATCAATATTTTCTGTACTTTTTAGTATTTAATTTATAAAATACATTAAAAAATAATCTAAATTTAGGTAAATGTACCGCATATTTTTATGTATAAGCGGAAAGTTTTTGAAACTTTTTCTGAGGTACGGGGATCGGCTTATATATGGATCCGTTAATCTCGCAGAAAAGTAAGTATTTTTCCATTAGCCGGCCGAAAGCGATAAATCGCCGAATATGGCATATTTTATTTCTGTTGTTTATATTAAGTGTATAAAAAATTAATTTTGAATGAAATGAGTTATTCTTTTTATGAGTATGAACTATTTTATTTTGGAAGATTTTTATTACTGGCTCGTCGCCAAAACTGTCAAGCAGTTTTACTGTCGTTTCCCCCTCATCTTTCAGACAAAAAAGTAAAATGGCACTGAACATAAGACTAGCATCGATACCACAGATAGTATGCAGAACAACAAATGAATGGAGAAAATGTGTTAGCTGCAGATTGGGTTACTGCAGTTATAAACTATTCTATCGTCATTGGCGTTTGTTGTTTTACTTTACGGCAATTTTATTGGAAAATATTCCACCCGATATTTGGCAACATTTTCGTCCTCACGGCGACATATTTGAACGTTACAGGACTCCCCCCTTCTTTTCGGCTTATATGTTGGTTTTAAAATTAGAGCAAAATGTTGAAGGAAAAACGCACTCTCGGCTTATGCTAGGATCGAATTACTTTCGGAAATATACGGTCTATTTTTCGAATTTTAAAAAGGAGGAGGAGGGATGATTTTCTAGCAATGAAAGGGGTGCATGGTACAATAAAGGTTGAGAACTACTGCTATAATGATGCAATTTCAAATGTTTAATTTCTGTTTACTTGTTGATTTCCAACTAAGAATTAATTTTTTCATAGGTTGTTAATAAAAGTGGAAGTGAAAAATGCCTGGAGTCATTGAAAATCATGATCGACAAAGCCCTGTAGTTAACCACAGGAGGTAATTAATTTTTATTCCAATAGTCCAGGTAAGGGAATGTATGATATAGTATAATGTGTACCAGTTTGCTTAACTAAAATAGTCAATTTTTTTTCCAGAGGTGCTAGTAATTCGTTTGATGAGAAATTTCAGTCAAATCAAAACATGAAAGGTGGATCCCGGAATCGATATCCTAATGGCTATAGCCCAGGTAATTTTATATGTGTATTTGTGTTTAATAGCTTATTCCATAGTATTTAAATTTTTTGAATTGTTGAAATCATGTAATAATCCCGTGTTTTACCCATGTGTGCTATTGATAAATGTATTACCATGTTTGATGTGTTTCAAAAATTTCTTAATCACAGTTTTAAAGAATAAGAAGGCACAAAATAGTATTTATTGATATTTTCTTTTAATCAAAGAATGTAAACTTCAGCTGCTATCTGTAGGTGTTGGTGGTGCTGTTTGACATGCTTGAAAATTATTCCTCTGCTTAAACCTGATGTTAAAATCTGATAAACAAATGCAGTGAATCTTTCTAAGGCAGCCATACACAGTTCTAATTGATTTTGGTTTTCTGTAGAGCAACCTTAGAGACTCTACAGAATTTGGTAACCTTAGAGAGTTGATGTTCATTATTAGTGTTTATATAGATTCATAGAAATGCATTTTCAGAGGTGGTCATCATATGGATATGGTTATCGGATGAGTGTTCATTTTATGTTTTAGTGTATTTTGATCCCCTTTAAAGTGGAAGATTTTCATCTATAGAAATAGGTGGAGTACAATCTCTCTAATTGTGAAAAATTGAGAAAATAAATTGAGAATTCAGATTTGAAATATGAGAATTATTTTCTACTCCCCCCTCGCGATTCATATATTTGTTTTTAGAGTAGAGTGTACATCATCTATATACAGCAAAAGTTTGATGATTTGGGTAGGCATCGTGTAGGACAAGCATGCAGACCTTGTCTTTGACAGAGGCTCCATAACTGCTACAAAGTAAGACAGAGAGATTTTAGAGCCATATATCTGCCTTTTCAGGAGTGAAGTTGACCTTTAGTTAATTTTAGTTTCTTTTCTTTTATAAATCACAGTGCTTGTCCACATAAATATAATCTGACAGATGATTTTCTCAAAAATGAAAATATTAAGTGAATGAATTGGTCAGTGAGATCTCCAGACTTAAACCCCATAAAATAGATCTAGGAAGCTGTTGGGAGAGCTGCTGTTGGGCTACTTTTTCCTATTTCAGAATCATCAAGAACATGATATCAGGTTCAATGTTCCGTCTTACTTTCTTCGGGAACATGCAAGGACCTGACTCGGAACAGAGAGCTTACTAAAGCTATGTTCAATAACTGTGGGAAGTAGACAGGATACACAAGAAGGGTATACAAAACCCTTTATTTTTTCTCTATTTACAATAATTTCCGTACTTCGGAATACACAGACCCACTACTCGTGGTCTAAACGTAAGAATATAAAAAATTAAACTAAACTTAACTTTGGAATAATAAATGTGGAAGATTGGCCTTATATTAACAGGAAGCCGTATGTAGTACAGAGAACTGTTGAACACTACAATACGTTTAAAAATTATCACGAGGATTAAACCTCTGGCCTGGAAGGCAACCAGCAACTGAGTAAAACTTCTAAGGTAAGCGGCCTGCTTCGACTAACTCCATCTCCTCTCTCTCGCTTGGCAAAAAGCCACAACTTAAGTACTTGGCGTTCGCCAGACAAATTTTGCATAAATACGTTAACGCTTTTAATTCTGGCCAGAAGCAGAAAATAAGAAGTGATAGTAAAGATTTAAAATAAAATAAACGTTAGTAAAACTTAAGATCCTTACATACTTCCCGCCAGAGTTAATTAGTTTTGAAACTGAGGTCTAAAACGACCTTGTTGAAAACTTTTAGCTCTAGAATCTAACGCGAGGCCAATCTTTTACAAACATTTCTCGCTAGAAACTAGAAATTTAAAAAAGAAAGAAATTTGTTTTTACAATAGCAGCTCCCAGGACACACAATTTTTTCATCTGTACTGCATCTAAACAGGAGCTTTTATTCAAATCTGGTTCCTTCCAGAGATCTGGAAGGAAAACTAGTTTAATGAAATGTTACACAATGAAATGGCAAGTAACATGTATAATTATATTTCTCTTAACATTCTTATTTCATTCATGACTATTTTAATTATCTCTTCCCGTGCTCTCTGACATGTGTTGTAAAAGAACACCAAACACGAATGTGTTTATGTCTATGTGTTCAACACTTCCTCCTACAATCAAAGCACTAACGTGTTAAAAATTCAACATACCAAGACCTCGTTACACACCCTAATTTTAACTCTAAACCCTGAGGTACTATTCTGAAAGTGGCTAACTCTGAAGTGTAGCGTCAGAGAGCCTAACTACATTCATTCAACCTTTAACACATATTCACCATGATTTAGTCTTTTTACAGTCACACGAATAGCAAATTTTTAACATTACTTTCACTTTTACCATATCACGGTATTTCTTAACATTTGAAATAACAGTTCACATTGTATATAAGAACATATTAACATGCCATTAATTTTACGCATTTGACAACATACATTAGTAGTACATTGTTAACTTCTATTCTTTTCAAAGCAAGTGCCAATTCTTCTACATTGAAATACTACATTTCAAAAAGTCTTTCAGACTAAAACTTCTTTCTTGCCAGAATGTTTTAAATAAAATTTATACAATAATTTTTACAATATTTAAGTATTTACACATCGCTATTATACATCAACTTTAGTTTTACGCACGAGTAATTGAAAAACATAGTACCAAAATCGGTAACAACTCATTTCTCGCCCTTTTGGCGTTAAAGGTAGATCTCGCATGAGGTAAAACTTCTTGAAATCTGCCACTTGCAGTAAGAATGAAAGATTAACTTAAGTTTGCAAAGTAACATAAAATTTTACTTATCTTTGTGATATTCGGACATTCTTTTCTGAGCCCAGTCCTGAAAAGTAGCGTAGATTGTTGTTTGATTTATCCTCCTTCGTGTGTGGGCTCGCCCTTCAGTGCCTTCCTCTAGAAGCTTTCTTTTTTTTTTCCAGTTCGGTCACCCTTGAATACCTTCTTTTTCACCTCTGCCTGTGGTCTTGGCCGTTTGATGGCAGCTGGTCTTGGCGGAACCGGGAAACTTCTTTCGTGTTCCTGCTTGGACCTCGTTGCTGGCCATTCAAATTTTCCTTGTAACTTTTCCTCTGCCGCTGGTGGCCCTTCCGCAGTTCGGCGACATTTGCTGCGGAGAGTCCTGTCAAGACGAGTAGATCTTCCGTTTTAGAGCCGGGTTATAGTTGCCGTCATTTCTCTTGGTTCTCTTTGTATACGTCGTCTTTCTCCCTTCTTCATTCTGGGGGTGTTCGTGAGCTCTCTTTTCTGGACGGTGGAATGGCTTCTTTTTCTTGTTACCTTTAATTTTCCCGCGGGGAAACTTTCTTTTCACTTTCTCCTGCCTCTTAATGGCTTGCCCTTGTACTTGTAGTTGTTCCACCTCTGGAGCTTGTGCCTGCGGTGTCTGCTGTGCCGGATCCTGCAAAAGATCTGAAAATATTTGCATTTTATTACTATCATAGTAGGGTTTGATTTGATCAATGTTTGCGGAGCAGGTTTCACCATTCTTGGCTTTTAACACTACTACAGCGTGAATTATTTTTTCTATGACATATGGTCCTTCAAATCGTGGAAAAAAATTTGGCAGTTTTATCTTCTGGTGCTGAAGAAAGTGAATGCTTAATTTTTAATACTTCATCCCCTACTTTATAAGTTACTCCCCGTCGTTTCAAGTCATAATACAGTTTTTGTTTTCTCTGTGCTACTTCAGTATTCTTCTTTGCTTCCTTAATTAGTTTTTCTATATCACCCATTTTAAATTCTGGGGCTCTTTGTTGCACATAAAATAATTTATCTAACGGCGTTATAATCTTTCTGCCTAAAAATAACTCAGCAGGAGTTTTGCCCGTTGTATCATGAGCAAATTCATTGACATAGTTATCCCAGCTTTTATGAAAATTTTTAACATAACTACAGATAATTTTCACTATATTTCTATTGACCCGTTCCGCTATATTTGATTGCGGCCGATACGGGACCATTTTTAAATGACGTATGCCCAGTTTTGGCACATGTCTTCAAATACATTACTTACAAATTGAGGACCATTATCCGATATAACTTTTAGGGGCGCCCCGTATTTTAAAATATATTTATTTAAAGAAGAATCAGTAACTAATTTCGCGGAGGCTCGTTTTAAGGGAACAATTTCGGTCCACTTACTAAAATGATCAACCATAACAAGGAGATAGCGACTTTTATTTAACTGACTTTTTGGGAAAGGGCCCAATAAATCGATGCCAATTATTTCCTTTGGAAATTCGGATTTAATACTATTTAGAAACCCGGCCGGGCGGAAATTAATATAATTAACTGCTTGACATGTTGGGCAGGACTTTTTCCTGGATTGCTATTGAACTGTCGACGTTCGCCGGCTGTTTTTGAATGCTCGGGTTTCCTTGCCCACTGATTCGCTTTGCTTCCGTAGCCGTGTGCTTGAGTTTGCTGTAGTCTTGGCGCACCAAATTGGTTTCGCTGTTGATATTGGCGTCTTCTTTCAATGTCCGCCATTGTTCTACTTTCAAACTGGATTGCTAGCTCAAATAACTTTTCCAGTGTAGTCGGATTTCTTAATTCAATAAAGTCTTGCACTTGGGGCAGTAACCTCGGCAAAATCACTTGAATTATCTCAGGATCCGCACGGTTTCCATACAAGAGTTTTGAAGACGTGAATTTTTCTTAAAATAAAGCTTGAGAGGTTTTCGTTTCTTTGCTGATATATACTGAAAGTTCCGTTTCTAATTTCGCACGATCCCTTACAACAGGGAAGGCTTTTTACTAGGGCAGTCTTGAAATTCTCGTAAGTATAGGTGGGACTTCCGGCTTGACCCAAGAGACTTCTGCCTATACACTTGAACCAGTTAAGCGCTTGGCCCCTCAAGCGCTGGTAGCTAAGGTAACTTTTTGAAATTCATGCACGGGGTAGAGCATGAAGTGGTCATCCAATTTTTCCAAAAAAACTGGTTACCGGTGAGTTTCCATTAAATTTCTTCTTGGTTTCATCGAAGCGCGCATGGTCTGGACGATGTAACCAAATCCTTCCAGGGCGG